GAAGACCACATGCAAAAATTCAAGCCCTTTCGCGAAAATTTTTTTTTTCACCCAAATCGTCACTTAGCATGGTTTTGCACTCACCCCTTCAATTGATTGTTGATTGATTGATTGACTGACCGACCGACTGACCAACCAACCCACTGACCGACCGACCGACCAACCGACTGATTGCTTGATTGATTGTCTGATTTATTAATGATGGATTGTTGATTGATCGGATGTGGCAAGTTTAAACCCCTCTCTCTTCCTGTATTCCCCTCCCCTGTTCCACCTTCTGGTTCAGAGATAAACAAAAATTATTCTTGACTAGTTTCTCAGTGATTGTGATAAATTTCACCAATCTTGTGACTTACCTTTAAGTTCTAAGACTTTCATTTGGTGGTGAGACTGTTAAGGCATACATGTGTCTCCCTATTTGATGAAGTTCTTAATTCTCATCACCTGTTTGCTTGATAATGTATCTGTATTATTGGCAATTAAGGAGAAATCAGGTATTGGTCATGAATAACCTGGAGGCTCAATTTTTTTCCTTCAGAAAAATATCCAGGTGACCCTCCTTCCATCAGTTGTGTTACGGAAGACAATCAACCTGTTCATACAGAACTGGAATCACTGCTGTACAACAGTGCACAACAAAGCTGTGGGGACGTCATGATTTACAATCTTGTAGAAGAAGCTAATGACTGGATAAAGAAACATGAATTTGCTGAGCAAACAACATCTTCTCAAGGAGAGGAGAAGTCATGTGAAGATGTCGCCACCATATGTAAATTCTTCTTGGAAGGGAAATGTAGATTTGGAAACAAGTGCTTTAATAAGCATGAAGAACCAACAAGTGTTAACAGTGACACAAGAGATGGCTCATTGCACTCACAAATATCTGGTGAAGAGACTGAAAAATTGTCAACTCAAGCTAATGAAAAGCCAAACGGAGCTTCAAATGCTGCTAAGAGCTTGGGAAACAGAAATGCTGAAACAAAGGGGGCTGAAGGCTCTAAAAAGAAACCTCCAATGAAAACGGCAAGCGACGTCATATCCAGAATTCAATGGGATGAAGAGCTGTCACCAAAGGACTTTGTTGTTGGTTATTTGGATCGCTTTATTGGAATCATGGAAAAATCTTTCACAGACTTTTCATGGGAGGACCTTGCTTCTGTCGACCATTTTGTGGACCTTGCAATCCCTAGACACAGAATTCAGTACTTCAAGTATCGAGGTGAAATAGTGTGGGACAAAAGGGAACGCATCGATAGAGTCTTTGGTTCTACAGGTAGCAAGGAGACCATTTTAGATGTGAAAAAGAGAACTGGTAACAAACAGGACTCTGACGAAGGGCAGTCTACAACTGAGACTGATGGTGCAAGTTGTGTTGCTTCTGAACTTCCCAAGCCTGTGAAGGAAAAGAATGGCCCAAACTATTTTATTGCTGTGCAGATTTCAGATGAAGGCATAATTGACAGCATCATTAAGGTAGGTGCATTTGTAGCATAAATTTAAAAAATTGGATTGTTACAGCTGTAAGAACTTTCATTTTGTATTGAACTTACATGTTTCAGATAAAGCTAACATTAATTCGTGTTTGAAAATCATGTTACCCATTAATGAACCTACAGTCCTGGACATAACTACTTGACACAAACAAACAAATAAACAAAAAACACTGAACAATTAAGAACGTGTATGCAGCGCTTCACCAAAGATTGACAGTAACTATACCACAGAGCTCTGAACTCTTCCTATTGATTTTTTTGAAACTTTACAAGACACTGTACATGTACATGTACATAGTGTTGAACTCATCAGAGAGATCTCAAATTGTACATTGGCAAAACCTATCCAATAATAGTCTAACTTGTTCCCAGTCTTTCCCATCTTGCCATACGTCTCCAATCTTTAGAGATGACTGGGGTTGAGTGAGGCTAAGTTATTTGTTAACATAATTATTAGCCTTACCTTAATTGTCTTTGTCTCCTGTGGGACATAAGGCAACAACAATCTCTGCCCATCTAGTCCATGTGAGTTTGCCTCACTAAGCTCAGCCATGACATTTCAGTGCCAAGCAGTTTTTGGCCAACCAGGGTTTCTTTTGCCAGGCGATGTTCAATGCAAGGCAACCTTAGTTTACAAGCCTGAGTCATTTTCAGTACATGGTTCAGTGATGGGATTCATGAACATTCTTAGGGTTGTTGTAAATTATAGAAAGCTGAGGATGACAAGGGCTGAATATTACCGAACAATGATAAACTAATACCATAGGAAATGCAATACATTCAGCACTCAAAACAAGTGCCATCCAGTTGTCCAGGACAAACAGGTTTTCCCACCGGGCAAGTAACTTTTCATTCTCACTTGCCAAATGGGCAAGGGATTAGGCAAGTCATCTGCCAACTAAATAAGAGAAAGGTAAACTACGAACTGCTGAGGGCAAGCTAGATTTGAGAGCTACTTGTCCGGAAGGTGAGCTGTAATTAAAGTCTGATACATGACTGCTGTGATAGCCACGCCCTAATGTTCATAACTTTGTCTTGGCAGATTCAAAATACCATCCAAGTTGAGCTTGGTCAAGAAGCAGAGTATGAGCTGATTCCAAAAGAACGTCTACACATAACCCTGCTGATGTTAACTTTACACACTGAAGATCATGTAGCCACTGCCAAGAGTATTCTCAAGTCAGTCCAACCCTTGTTGGTGTCCATTCTTC